GTGTTGATATAACTATATATCAATACGGAAAAAATGTTTTGTATTTGTTTTATAATATAGCAACGTCAAAAGCCGAAGAATAAGAACAATTTCCGTGTTACAAGCGGCGGAAAATTCCCCGTGTTGACATGGAGTTATATCAACACGGCTCTTAGCCAATCAGCGTTCAGAATTTACAAATGCTATATTATAATGCTGTGTGAACGCTGCATTATTTTTAATAATGCTGTGTGCACGCTGCATTATTTTTAATAATGCTGTGTGCTATTTTAGCCCGTATAAAAATTTACCCCTGGGAATTTCTCTACAATCAAAAAAGACCGCTCCCGTTTTTCAGAAGAACGCTAAAACTTCTCGACATTCGCTGATATAATGCAGAGAGAAAACAATAGGTTATTATGACCGTCAGTAATTATCTACTAAGTAGCAACGTTGAGTGCGGTGTATAAATTGTTCAACTGAGATGTCACGTCAAAAGAGAATGTATAGTGTCTAGAAAATTGTTGAAAATGGAGTTCTCCAAAATATTAAACCATTAAAATAACTTATAGAGTCTTGAAAATTTTCAAGATTTTACACGGATTGTTCAAAATGTAGACAAGATAATTAAATTAATCCCTTCACTTTATTTTAGCGCACTATATTTCTCCCTCAGCAAATTCTGTTTTACACAAAGTTATTTACTCTTTGCAAGTATTCACAAATTAAGAGGAAAACCATTAACACTAAATGCACACTATTTAAAGGGAGGGCTAGTTAACTCTCGGCTTAAAAATTAAAATCATTTTCATTTGAAGAGAGTAGCAACGAACAGCTGCAGCATGTCTGTTCCGTGTTTAACGATGCAAAAATTATTTAATTCGGGTTCCGTCTGAATGAATGGCATGCAATCTTGACTGAAAATCTTTTTCGAACATCCAAAAAATTTACCATACACCACTATCAATTCACTAAAGGAATCTCTTTACTCCTAGGATCAGCTCTATGGGTAGTGTAAATACAAATAGAGGTAGTCACCTAGTAAACATAACCTGCACGGAGAAGCCAACTAGCCAAGGAAATAAACAGGCAGTTCGAGCTTGATTTAAACGAGAAGCACGTTACTTCAAATATGTTTCATCACGACACTTTGCACGCATGATGTATAAATAAATGAATAACACGTTCACTATAACTATAACTAATACCTAACACTGTTATAACGCACAAGCAACCTTTTATAACTACATACTATACTGTACAGCACTACCGAATAATATTCGTATTTTTCATACCTTTTTGATTATATAAAGATGGTTGTCCTCAGGGTTATGCATACTTTCATCAGCGTCAGATGCCTCTTGTAGTCTTTTACTGTTGAGCTCACATAGACCTAGTTACCGCTTCCAGACGTTTTAAAATTTACTGACGCACATAATCCATTTGCAACGCAATGCATGCCACATTCTAATTCGGTGTCTGTCTGCTTTGTTTCGACAACATGATTCGCAAAGTAAGTTTGCTCCTTTCTGCGAAAGATAGCTTGCTCAGTTGAGCACTTGCCTTGTTGTATTATTTGCGAAACGAAAATTAACGCACAAATGCTTAATACAACAGCCATTGTGAGACTACAATGATGCAGGCCTTTAGACGCACAGTCTTAAATTTCCAGTTTATAAAATTAAAACAGCATTTACATATGAAAAGCATGGATAGTTTAAAAAATCGATAGCAAAGCTAGGCCTACTCTGGGGCGGTAAATCGCCTTAAATCGCCTTAAATCGCCCTAAATCGCCTAAAATCGCATTAAATCGCGGGTTAAAATTGTCAAATTTCTCTTAAATCGCCTAAAATCGCCTAAGATCGCTTAAAATCGCCAACATGCATTCTGCTTGATACATTCAGTCCATATGCTCAAGTTTATCAATTGCTGCTATTTTACGGGCAAATCTTGTAATCCAGGTGTAATCTTATTGAGTGACCAAATCATGTAATCAAGTAATGCAACATGGATTAGCAATCAAATAAGTGGATTAGGCTGACAATATTTGGTCACTCAATAGGCACCGGTCATTGACAAAAACAGAGCCTTTACAATAATTAGGTAATTTTGGGATCTGAAAGACCCATAAATCCCATACACCACCAGCAACAAATTTGAGCTAGTTACCAGAATGAGCTAATTTCATTATTGGTGTAAATGGAGGCTGGGCTACAATTTATATGGACTATGGAGGCTGGGCTACAAATTAATCTATAATCTGCATGGCTTCTCCAAGCCTAATTGCTGTTAATTAGAACAACAGTAGGAGACTACGAAGTCAATGAGTACGAGTGTTGATTTATATAATAAAGTCATCGTGTAATTTGTGCACTGTTGCATGTAACATCGAGCACTGCATTGTATACAATGGTTGTACTTCGACATGTGCATGGTTATACTCTAGCTCCTAGTTATAATTATAGTGGCTATCAAACGAAAAATATACGTGAGGTTATGAGCGATTTGCAACTCTCGTCTATTAAATTTTCCAGACCTGTATATACAATAAACAGTAAAGCAATGATTACATCGTACATACCATACAATAGATCTTTTGTTGTTGTTTGTTTGTTTGCAGAACCTAAGACCACGATGTAGTGCGCCATTTGTAAATTAACACTGTATTATTTTGTTTTTAATTTATATACGATATACTTCATGTAATTTAAACATTACGGCATTACGCCGACAGTTTCCGAATACTTTATAAATCTGTTTGTAGCTCGGTTTGTAGCATGAACAAAGCACGAGATTAAAACAGTTTAAATAAAATGCAAGCTAAATAAAGAAGTTTTGACATGATACAAAACAAGACAATTTTACTTACAAGGGTGACAAGGTAATTTATAGGATTATAGCTTATTCAGTTATACTGTATAAATATATTGTGTGTTTCTACCCCCTACCCCTTGTGTTTTGGAAATCAAATATTTATTATATTTTGCAATTTTAACTAATAATAAATTAATAATATTAAAGTTTAAGACATGTGTAGTGCATGCCCCTTAAGTAGTGTCTATTAACTGTTTACAATATTTGTGGTATATAATGTAGCCATGAATGACCACATGATCCCCACAAGATGAACCCCAATGGCTTCTAAATAGAGAATGGATGAAAAGTTCATGAATATTGAGCTTTATATGTGAATCAGGTTAAATACAATAATTAGTTAACCTAGCTTAATTATATAAAATATACATACATGTTCTAATAATTGTATTTTGCTTCATACAATGCATATGTGTGTGGAAGATTACATTATTATTCAGCTCACTCTCCATTGGGGCTTTTCAGTGACCGATTACATCAAGTACTATGATTACTTATGTTAGCCTAGAGTATTTATCTTTACAACAATAAGGATATGATATTACTTTCCTAACTGTGTTTATCCTAACCCACCCTGCCAATTTTGCCCTGTGGGAGGAAACTGGAGCAAAATATAAAATTCCATTCCTTTGAAAACACCTAATTTGCAATCCCTAAAATTTAAAAAATTTTCTTAAATCGCCTTAGATCGCCTAAAATCGCATTAAATCGCAGTGCTTGAAAGTCCCAGTTTTTCCTTAAATCGCCTAAAATCGCCCAAAATCGCATTATATCGC